TTATTGGGCCAATAGCAAAGAGACTTCAATGTGTAGGGAACCATTACCAATGGGATTGAAATGGTACAGTGTATGGTAGATCATTCTGTATGTCATTGTTTGTGTGTGTTATTGCCTGCTCGTAGTTCGCTGGAATCATTTAGCTTTATAAAGATATTGTTGTAAATCAACAGTGGCATGTAAATGTAAAGGATGGCAATCAACAGATCAAACACCTGTGCAGAGGCACTCCCTGGTAGGAGTTTAATAAGGCATAAGGCTGTTCATAGTAATAAGGCTTTTCATTTATGCAGACTTTCAGAAAATCACATCTGAATATTTCCGTTTCTGTTCTAGTGCCATTATGTTAAACACAGGTTGTAAGTGAGCTGACATTCTGAAGAATTTGGAGCAGTTTGAGGAGTGAACAGGAAGTTTTAGGGGATTCAACATTGGATGTGACTGTGTGCTGTGTTACTGCATTAGTGGAATTTATCTGAAGAATCTGTTGTTTTCTCTCGTTAGATTGTTTCAAAAACGGTCTTTATACCCCGTAGCATGTTAACTCTTAGCGGATTTACATGTAGGCTTAAGAGTTTAGCTTTGCATGTACATGTACAGTGTATGTACTGTAGTGACGTGTAGGAACATTGTATAAATACATATCCTGTACACATCAACGTGGCTTACCTATAGAAATGTGCTCATGGATTAAACATGAAACTGCAGTATTGTTTTAACGGAACCCAAAGGCTGTCTATGTCAGTTCAATGAATGTTGTAGACTTCTCGGATTGAGAATGCAACATTAGGAGCGGATCTCTGCATTTTGTTGACAGTACGTGCTCTACCAACTGCTAGCGTGAAAGACATCACTTTTCAACTTCATAGCTGTCATATCATGTGCATGTAGTTGATATCAGTTGATATCCGAATAAGTTTGCATTTGGAGTCACCCATCATTATTCAGAAGCACAAACTACTAAGTTAAATCCCGTGCATACTTGTCTTTGCAGAGAAATACACGTACAATTCTTCCCATGTTCTAGGAAATTGGCATCTCCTTGACAACTTCTTGCATGCTATTGTGAGCCATGCCTGTTACAGTCGCTCAACCACAATGAAAGCTGTCAACTCATTTGAAAATAATCAGGTTTACAATCTTGTATCCAAAATAACACACCTGCACAATTTATGTAGGTAAAAGAAAAAAAGATTTTGTTACTACATGTATAATCGTGTAGAAATCTGGAGGCTTCTTAGAGTTGCCACTCAGTGCTCTGTTTATTGGAAAATATTTCTAAAATTAATTTGTCGAGTGTCAAGAGATACATGTACCATGCGTAAACTCCAGTTGTTGTCTTGATGACCTGGATGTGTTTTGAGTAACAGTACATGTACATTACAGGATCTGTTTCAGCACTTGTGTCTTGTAGCCAGCAAGAGGCAAACCTCAACACTCCTAAAAGTAACTTCAGTTCAGCCTATACAATTTCCCAATCGGGCCTACAAAAGTTTGATATTGGCCCCTTGGGCAACCTAGCCAAAGAGAATCAAGATGGTAGCCACTCACAAGACACTGGATGACAAATAACTGAAGGATGAACAAATATAAGTTGTGCATGTACAAGGAATTAGTCACATTTTTCCGAACTGGCGTGCCGTCGAAGCTCTTTTGGTCGGCTTATGAGGCGAGTGGGAGCCCATGCATATAATCAAATCCTCGCTGGGCAACTTCTCAGCTTTTTTGCAGGAGGTAAGTTGATTCAAAGCACTTCTATTAGTCTGTGAATCATTCTTGTACCCACAACTTTACAGATTACCTCGTACAGTACAGTACCTGTAACCAATCTTTGGGGCATTTCATGCTTTTGTTATGATGCATGCAAGTCCAAATGACAAGTAAAAGTTCTCTGTGTTCAAACTTTCTTCCATGTCACATGGCTGGCATGCTTTATAAAATGTCAAATCCAGGGACTGCTAAATTTCCAGCTGTTGAACAGGTATTATAGCGTGGGTCTTCACACAAATTTTTGAGAGAGGCCGGTGTGTTAGATTTAACCAAAAACAATGAAACTTGTAGTCTTGACTATGTGAAATCCACCTTGCAAATTGCCACAGGGGTGAACCAACTGTAAAAGTGCATGAATGTAGTGCCCATACAGGTAGGGGGGGTTACACATACTCCTGCACCGTACATGTAGTTGTGGGGACTCAGAAATGTCCCCACAACTTAGTTCAAATTTCCCTAACAAAAGAATTTGTCCCCTGAACACGGTGAATGCCTACCCATATATACGTATACACATGGTGCTTAGAAACAGGCCTTTTACTTCAATGCAAATGTTGCAGCTTTTTTGGAATTCTTGGAAGGGTGTGATGGGGCGTAAGTTATCCCAAAGTCTGATTCTAATGCTAGCCCCATTGTCTATTCATGTAGAATTAAAGTCACTGACTAAAATGAGTTTTAAAGACATTTTTTATCATTTTAGTTTTTCCTGTTGCATCTAAAAGAACAGACAAGCTCCTTGTGTTTTTATTTATACAATAACATATGAAGCAAGATATGGGACGGAGAGCATCCCCCACCTTGTGTTGGTCATTGTTTGATCGGAATCTCAGGAATTCTTTACAGACATCTAGGGGGGATGTGTTAGGTAACAATAGTCTAGAGTGTGTATAGGGATTGGACATGTGGGAGGGTTACCCCTAGCTCCGTCCCATATCTTGCTGGGTATGTACATGTTAAGTATGTTTGTTCTTATGCACTGTGCAACGAAGACACTACACAACCGATACATCATGTACATGCAGAATGTACACAAAGGTGCCTCGGGCAGCGGGCAAATGGCCCACATCAGAACAGAGACCACGGCCGGCCGGACTTCAAATGTGTTGATTTCAGCGAAAGGAGGACAGGCAGAGAACCCAGAGGGGAAAAAAAAAACACCCTTGGAGCACAGGAGAGAAACAGTGAATAACTCTACTCACATTGTTGAGAGTCAAACCTGGGCCACAGGGGTGAGCGGCGAATGCATCGTGCACTAGCCATCCATATCACCGAAATACGTTGTACACTGTTTACATATTGCTTTGTCTAACATGGGGACATTGATTTCTTGCATATATACACGTAGAAATGCTATAGGCCCACATGTAGAGTGCAAGTTGACATGTACAGTGGCTCGGTGTAAATGACCCATTCTGTTGAATTTGGGTCAACCACCTGCCCATCAGCTAGGGCAAGATGCGCAGCTCTCCCCTCATGTAATCAGAGCCACGGACTGAAACACGCATGTGTGGCAGCCTGCCAACTCTCTACCACACCGCGTCTGAGAGCCCAGTTTTCAGCCCTCCTGATTTGCCCAACGGCATACAGGGACTTACAGATACTGAAAATACCATCAGGACCTGGTTGCAGGCAGCAGATCACCCACTATAACGATGCTGATTCATATGAAAGAAGTTAGAATCTGACGTTTATATGTAATGACACAATGTGATGATGTAGTCTTCACTTCAAGTTACTTAGATCATTGGTTATTGAAGAGGGAAAGGTTTAAACTGCTTTTGATGTTCACATACAAGGATGTACCATAGCTGACGGCTATGTTTTTTTAATGCACTTACATGTATCCTTAGAAAGCCACCAAGAGTAACGTAATTTCAAATCAAGCGGCCCCTACTTTTTCAATGTCACCAGTGTGTCATCCCAAGACTCTGCGAGTCACGAGGTTCAGCCCTCCATTGTGTCCCGGCCCTCGGTCCCTGGTCGTCAGTGACGCATCTGCAGGGCCAAAAAAAAAAGAAAAAGAAACTCAAAGAAAACCCTTTGACATATTCCATGATTGGGATTCAGTGTGTTTACATGTATGTGTGTCACCTTCCGCAGGCTCTGGAAGCGCCAGTTTTACTACATGTTAGGTTGTTGAGTTCCCTGTCTTAAAAGGGCTTTGGAAGTTGGCTTCAAAAACAGACGCATACAAGACGAGTCACCCATTTCCAGCAGTCATTTCTCTGATATGATTTGATGGCAGCGCTCCCGTTGTATTCTGCATGACCAGGACCACAGTCTCCTGGGGTTTGCTTCATCTTTCTCTTATTGTCTCTTATGAAATAGATCACAGAGTCCTTGTGTTTTTTGGGGTTGAGTTTTGTTTGAAGGTAGACCTAAACTTATTCAATTCCAGGCATACTTTGTATGCACCTGGCTTTTACTTTTATTTGTTTTTTTGTGTGTGCTTTGGTTGTTTGTTTGTTTTTTATTCCAAATAAATAATAATAACTAGTTTTTCTGTATATCTGCATTGAAGTGATGTGAATTTTAAGTAATTTACGCTGTGTGTTATGCTTATTAATGTTACATGTTCATTATGTCATGAGGTCTATTTGCTCAGTGTTGATCAAGAGTTTGTAAGGAAAAACCTCCCTGGATACGTGTAGGTCTGGAACCCCTGTTCTCACTGGTAAATGTTTGTAGAAATATTACTCACCTTTAGGTCATCAGTTTTGTAAAGAGCCCAAATTTGGAAGGATGCAAGACTTACTTTCCAGTTAAGCTGAGATGACAAGATCTGCTGACGTTTACTCGTTGGTAATAATCCAAACCACCGGTACATGTTTTGAAACAAAGCACGAGCCTTACAGGAATTAGATATTTTAGGACAGAAATCCCGTTTAGGCTGTTTGATGATGATTCAATGATTTGATTAATTCTTCATCACTGAAAGTCACAATTAACAAAAATATTTTGGTTCTTTTTTATTTTGCAGAAACATTCAGCAACGATGTGATCCTTGCACATTGCAAAATTGAAAGTTCAGTTTTTTAATTGTTGCAAATTGTTTTTGTGGCAAAGACAGGATGCAAATTGTGTGTCTCACACATAACCGTCAGAAATCAGCCCATACTAATGCAGGAGATGCAAGTATTGCTCTGGTCAGGCATTTTGTTTTGGGACAATCTTTTTAATTGAGGTGTATCGTTTCCCTCTTCCCCCCCCCCCAATTTTCCACCTTGCAGAATTTGACCCTTCAGCGAAGGCTGATGGAGAACATGGCCATTGCCAGGGCACGGGAGGCTGCTGTATCCTTGCCCATTCACTTGCTTTGTGACAGTGACGAGTCGGCCATATTGAATTGGAATCGAGGTTCACTTTTCAGTTTCAGACACCTGACAGTAAAAATGAAAGTAATGAAATAAAATAAAGTTCACTACAATTGGGAACCAGTTCATGTTGATGAGTACTTTAAAGTTTAAGGTTGAGTATGTCAAAATGTTTTAAGCCACATTAAAAAAATGTGAGTGAGGCTTGAAATCTAAAATAATCGTGCTCACCCCATTCAACAGATTTCATTGAATGAGATAGATCCAGGGAACATGGCCAAATATGACCTCCTCATAAGTGCTTGTTTCAATACTGGGTAATTTCAGAAATTAGGGGTCCAAAAGTGTGACAATTTCGTGTCCCTGTCACATCTGACAGGGACATCTTTTTTATTTGACATGGAAATATCACCAGAATTGATTTCAATCTCTAACTATTTGTTTGGCAGGTAATTTGCATTAATTCAGCACTCTTGGAAATTAGAAAATGTGTTTTGAATTTACAAAATCATATGTCAGATGTGACAGGGACACACACACACAAAATAGACCCCTAATTTCTGGAATCCCTACTAACAACAGAATCATGCCTTTGCGATCACCACTCAGTGCTTATAGCATGAGCAAAGAAATTTTACAGTAATGCTGTAAAGTAAGAATTCTTGGTTAATGGTTATGGTTGTTCCCACTTGGGATGTACCAACACATTTTCAATTTTACATGTAAAATTCAAAAGGAACTTTAGCATCAATTAAGTTTTGGTTTGGCTGAACAGTAATTTGCAATACCAGCGATTCACAATAGTGCGCCACCAAGAGTTTGCAACGCATTGGCCAATCAGAAGACGTGAAATTTGTCGACCCTTTCCAAATGCGCAATGGGTCAACAAATTCCACGCATTGTGATTGGCCAACGCATTGCAAACTCTTGGTGGTGCACTATTGTGAAACGGCCGTATTCTAGCAGCAGTAAGATTGATACGGCAACACTGTTCTCACCTTCCACTGCTGGTGACCTCAGTTTGAGTGCCACCTAGTCTAGGATCAAGGCTGTTTTGTTTTGGTGAACCCTGACCCTTGACCCGGCCAATCAGCTCGCAAAGAAAATCCAGGAGCGCCACCAGCGTCTGCAGGAAGAGGCAGCCCGCCGGTTCTCCACCACGGGGGAACCGACCAAAGCAGAGATTGAGCTTCGCGAGTTCTACGCCAGCGTCATGGAATTTGAGAGCAATGAGGTGGGTTCATCGTGTCATCCACGTCAATTCATAAGGCATTTTTATACCAGGCAATGACCATGAAGCTGCATAAAAGTACAGGAGTGCCACCTCACTGTAAAGAGAGAAGTTTGCTAGGCAAATCAGGTTAGTTTATCGGTGGAAAGATCAACAAAATATGGTATGTTTGCAGTGTGGCTATCTGAATGTTTTATTCCATTCTGGTCTGTTATCAAAGCTTACAACCCAAAATTGAAATGCACATTTAATAGTAAGCACCTCTTTTGACAGAAAAGCAATGACGTGATGCTATCCCAATTACCAATACCAAAGCCCCCCCCCACAACCCTGAAATTGTGAAGTCCGTGATACCTACAGTATGTGGCAGTATCAGCAGTGGATGTTGACTTCTTGCCAGGAGTTAAACCTCAGTGAGCGTTTTTCTTCTCTATCATGAACCATGTGAATTGAGTAAGGAAAATTTACTCAAGTGGAGGACTCAAACTTCTTGCAAAATTGAGGGTCCACTGGCAGCGTACATGTACTCTCTCCGCTTTCTTCAAATGTCTTACAGACCTGGCTGTTGGAATGGAGGCGTAAGTTGAGTGCATCCTCCCGGGACCTGCCCTTCATTCACGCCCTGATCAACCACATCCTGGCTTGCCCCGACCACCCCTTCACCGTGCTCCTTAAGAAGTTCCAGTGTGCCATCTACCAGAGCCTGCTGCCCCTGGTGCGGAAAGATGCCCAGGAGCTGGAACAGATCCGGGTTCCATACAAGACGGTGGAGCCCCTGCAGCTGGCTGGTGGGTATAGAGGGTTTGCGTGGCTGCCATCTTGGAAGGCAGTTCTTTTGTTTCACAAGGAAACCTCCTTTGTGCATACCTCATGGAACAAAAACTCTGGCCTGCAAGATGGCAGCCATGCAAACCCTCTATTGGATCTCTACACAGCCGTGTTAGAGCTCAGTGTAGGCTCTTAGGAGAGCCAGGGGTGGTGGTTTATTGGCATTTCTCAGTTGCTACTTCTTCTGACTTTGCTTGTTTGCGGCAAAGTCAAGCCAAGTGGAGCAAAAAGGATTTTTTTTCCCTACAGAACATCCCCGTGATTTCTGCAAACAGTGCATAATGTTAATGGGAGCCTTCTCAGTGATCCTAAATGTCAGTGAATAAGGCTTCATTCTGCACTATTTTTTTCAGTGTACATAAACTGTCGCCATTTTCATAAAGAGCTAGAGCCACACGTGTCGAAAGTAGCATTTTTTAATTTTGATTACATTCATGAAGTTAGGGGCCAAAATCTTGATCACTGCATTTTGAGTTTTTACGAAGAGACACAAATCTTACTGCTTCTCGTATACGTACAAAACATATTGACCAGAAAGGCCAAAAAGTACATGTAGGTCAAGTGAGATTTTCATTTTCATAAAGAGCCACACATTTTTGTTACAATGTAACAATCGCACGCATGAAAACATGTGCCCACTCCCTATGGAAAAATACATTGCACAGAAGGGCCAATAAGTAGAAGAACATGGATTTTGATTTCACGGACGGACAGGCATCTTTACTAATTGATTTCGGCTAATTAACCACTGTGTTCATTTAAATTACTTGGTTCAGGCCAAAGTTTATCTCTCAAAGGGTCAGTTGAGGTTTTCCTACTGCATAAATTTGTTCCATATTGGTATTTTTGCAGTTATGAAAGAGGAGAAGCTTCTCGGGCGATTTCTCCAAAACCAGTTTTTCTTCAAAATCCGCATGTGTGGCTCGTCGTGAAACGGCGACAATTTAAGCCCAATAACCTCAACATTGGCTTCTTGCCCAACAGTGATTA